AGCACTGCCGACAGRGATGAATTTGATAGAATCTTTGGAAATATAAGATGGCAATATGCTTTTAACATTTAAATATGAATATTCCTTTGACCTGAAAATTTTACTTCTTTTATCAGCAAAAAATTGTAACAACTTCATTAAAAGTTCACAGACTGCAACAAATGTACCACTCTGGCCACGGATGCCATGGGGAGGGGTTGGAGACGTCAGGTTTTGGGGGTTTGTGGGAATTCTCTGAGAGTTCTGCTCAATTCTGCTGTCCACCTAAAKTGCTTTAAAAAATAAAGTCTTGGGCTGGGGTTGTGACTCAGTGGTAGAGCACTTGCCTAGCATGTGTGAGGCACTAGGTTCAATCTTTGGAACCACATAAAAATAAATAAATAAAATAGAGGTATTGTGTMCATYTACATTTAAAAARTAGATTTTTTTTCAAAAGTCTATTAAAATAAACACACAATAAAGTCTAGGAGGCTAGAGGGTGGAAGAACAACACCTTGCTCACCAAGATGGCTAACTTGGACTTCATTTTCAAATAAAAAAAGAAGGAAGATGGATGTATTTGGTTGCACAAAACTCCAAATGTTTTAATGGCAAAGACATAAATATGATAAACTTAAAAAGACAACTTAGAGATTTGGAAATGGTTGTGCATAAGACAAAGAGGTGGCTTCCCATTGTTCAGTTGTTCAGACCTTTGAGCACCTACATGGCAGGTGCCAAGCCAGGCCCTGGGAACGCGGCAAACACAGTCCCAAAGTGAAGGAAACTCTGACCATTGGTGGAATTCGCACGGTGCTGGGGACCACATCTGAAAGTCTTTAATTTTTTGGCTTATACATCTCTCTCAATGCAATGGGKTTTTTTTTTTTTTWAATTTAGTAAAACAGGTCTTTTCCTGAAATTTCCTCCTTTTTGTATGTTCTTAGCTATTCTCAGATTAGGTTTCTATTTTGCATACAAAATTCAAAGTCATTTTATSCAATTGTAATTGGACTCATATTAAATTTCTATATTAGGGGCTGGGGCTGGGTCTCAGTGGCAGAGCACTTGCCTAACACATGAGGCACTGGGTTCCATCCTAAGTACCACATAAAAATAAATAAAATAAAAGTACAGCGTTCATCTACAACTAATATATATATATATATTAAATCCTACATTACAAGTCTGTCTAGCTGTTGAGAAGAGAACACAGAAGAATTCGGTGGCAGAGTACTTACCGCCCATTTCTCCTGTCCCAGAGCCTCGGGCCTTGGAGCCTATTCCACTGTAGCCCTTTCACACCAGATCTGACTTCCAGAACTTGAGAACACCTCCTTGAGGGAGGGAAGTCAATGAAATACCGACTTCATTTGTCCACAGAACACTCTGATTTTACCTGCGTACAAACGAGTGAACAAAACTGCAAAGTAGGGTTGGAAGCAAATAGCACTTCTCGGCCCAGAGACAGCCATGCCATAAGGTGAAAGCAGACAGCTCTCAGGAAGTCTGCAATCCTGAATCTCTGTGTGCCTAGCACTTCAGCTGCAAAGTGATACTGCAGCAATCAACAGGAGAAAAAAGAGTTTCACTAAACAAACCCATCAACAGACGGGGGAATTCAGTACAACGACGGAYGGAATGAGCAGCCAAGAACCTGGTAAGAATAAAGAACCTCTGAAATCTAACCTACCAGGYGAGCACGGAACCCAAGCCTCCTCTGGCAGGGCGTGCCCTCTTCACGAGTATTTGTGGAACAGCTACCAAAACTGCCTGTGTACGCTGGGGCATAAGATGAGCATCGATATATTTCCAAAGACTATGTCATTTAGACTTTAGAACCTATCAGATGACTATAGTACAATCAACTTTAAAATCWATAGCAAAAGGTAAACTAAAAATCCCAAACATTTGGAGGCTAAACACTTTTTAAATGAACCATAAAAAAAGAAGAAATCAAAAAGTAAATTGTAAAGTTATTTTGAACTGAATGATAATGAAAATATAATATAAAAATTTTGTATGGTGTAGCAAACCCTGTACTTTGAGGGAAATGTATAGCATAAATTCAKACGTTAGAGAAATAAAGGCTGAAATCAATTATCTAAAATTCTATCTCAAGAAATTAGAGAAGTGAAAGCAAGTTAAATCCAATCAAGYAAAAGGAAGGAAATAATGTAACAACAGAAATAAATGAAATGTAAAACAATATACAATAGAGAAAATAACAACACACATGCATTTATTACTGCTTCCAGATGGGGTGGACTAATTCACAGGAAGCAGACACCATCAATGAGGACAACTAGCAAGGTCGGGCTCGGCTGGGACCCTCGAGAGCATCAGAGTGCGGGGAAGCAGCAAAACTGAGGGACCCTTCAGAGGACAACTCGGGATATGCACCTGCACTCGCCTGGGAGCCGCTGATGATGAATTGGGATGGAGGGGTCTGTGGCCAGGCAGCGGGCCTCTCCAGGAAAGCTGGGGTTAATTACATGGCAACAGGGTGGCAAGTTAAGGACTTTAGCTGGGTGCAGTGATACGGGCCTGTAATGCTAGCAACTGAAGCAAGTTCAAAGTCAGCTTCAGGAATTTAGCAAGACCCTGTCTCAAAATAAAAAATATAAAGGGCTGGGGATGTGGCCCAGTGGTAGAGCACTCCTGGGTTCAAACCCCAGCACCAAAATAAATAAGTAAATAGAAATAAAGACTTGAGAGGGCTCAGCCCAGAACTGGTCTCCCTTCCAGATGTGGCCTGCACTCTGGACAAAAGTCCCCACACTGTTGTGGCACTTAGGGGATCCCGCCCACCAGGGGGCAAGGCCCTGGGTGCCAAAGGCAAACACTGAGAAGCCTAAGACGGGGTCGGCTGACATGGAGGTGCAGCCTCTTGAGCCCCAGAGGGACTTGCCTATTCAGCCGTGTGCTGAGAGATCCTGCTGTGGCCTCTGCAGAGAGGACGGAGAAGTGCAGACGTCTCGTGGTCACGTGGGACTGGGACTGACACAAATGAGCCGTGGGGTCCTCAAACACAAAGCTGGTCAGTTCCTTAAAACATCTACTAACTCAGAGCCATGTGGAAGAGGAAGCTCCGGAACTAACCCAAGCCAGTCCTCCCACCCACAATAGAGATGCTTTTCCCCAGGCATCTCCCTCGCCCCCAGACCCAGGCAGGCCCGAGGGGCCCCAGGAATTCCCTGCACTGACTGTCACCAGAGCCTGCCTGAGATTGAAAGCCACAACTGCAAAGGCCCAGGGGTGCGTGGCTGGCAAAGATATCAATGAGAGACCCCGTCTTTGTTGCGTGTGGAACATCTGCGTCTTTCCCTAGRAAGTCTCTGCCCTCTTATTATGCCCTTGGTTTTACATTCTTCCTTTCTGTTAACTGACCATGATACACAAAAAGAGTTTTTAAAATATCTGTTTTATTTACTGATCAGGGTTGAATGCTCCCAATAGAAAACTGAAAACCAGACGAGTGGAAATGTTTAATACCTGACTTTTTGRAAGATCTAGTTTGCTCAGTCATGATCGTTCCATTACTCATCCCACCCACTGTGTCCAGAGGCTGCGTAGCCGGGGTCCCTGTTCCCTGAGTGGGAAATGGATGGCATCAGGAATTGCTGGTAGTGGGGAGGGTTCCGATTCCTGGGCCTGGAAGTCTGGTCACACAAAGGGACGGCAGCTCTGGGGAGGAAGGAGGAAGGTGCACWTGGTGCTAGGCAAGGCTCTGCCTCCAGCAGGGCAGAAGAGGGGGCRGGGACATGAGGAGTTGGGACACTGGCTCAGCCATTTCTAACTCCTGCTCCTGACGCACATCTCTGCCAAGCTGAGGGCCCGGGTGCCCAGAGGAGAGCTGCCCTGGGAGCCCCAGCCCTGGCCGCATCTGCCATTGCTCCAGGGCAGCCACCTGCCCTCTCAGACCAGCAGGCCCCAGTGCGCCTGTGGGTGAACTCSGAGTCCCAGTGCTGTGCCTTAGGGCCAGGACCCGGAACAGGGCCCTGCAGGGGTGGGGCAGGGGAGCAGTGAGACTAGGTGACTGGCACCCTGTGAAACCCCTGCAATGCCCCCAGACTCCCTGTACCTGCTCCCGCTACATCATCACTCAGTATCCCCACCTGATCCCCCAAGCCAGGACCCGGGGAACCACTTGACTTCCTCCTCCCCCTCCCCTACGTCTAGCACCTCTGGAGTCGGATCCCCTTGTCCCCCCTGGTGCTCACAAAAGCCCATCTCTGGCTTTGTTCCGTTTTGGGAGGAGGAATGTCGGGACCATCTCCATAGCTCCCTACCCCGTGGGCGCCCTGAGCCCTGCCCCATCTTGTCCATCCAGGAAATGAGCTGAATGAGCTCCATGGGGCTCAGAAATAAGACCCAGAAAGAGCTTGTTACCGTGCCTGGCATGGGGCAGGCACCAGGAAAACAGCGGCCACTGGTGGAGTCATCCCCTTCTTGGAGACACATTCCACTCCTTCCACATTTGTCCCCATGGACGCGGCAACATGTTGACCAAAATGCTTTTCTTAAAAACAGCTGAGAGCTGAGCCCCTGGAGGGGCAGATAGGAATCTGAAGCAACGGTTTACATTAACTCCTGGGAGSTGCGCAGCCTCCAGGCTGAGCCTCTGTAGCAGAGGCTCGAGTTCCCGTGAGCACAGCAGACCGGCCCTCTGCACCTCCGAATTTCATTGCCAGGCTGGGTTGTTTTTTTTTTTTTTTTTTTTCAGTTTTCTAGAGAAACAACCCCCAGATCTGTTATCACAGCATCGCGAGACAGCCAGGCAAGGTAACAGACTTTCTTGTTTTAAAAGTTCATCAAAAGCTGGCCACACCCCTGTTGGAAGTATTCTAGGAGGGGATTGCCACAGAGTCCTTTTGAACTCTGGGAGGTGACCAGCAACGGCTTTGCTCTGTCCCAGACTACAGCACACTGGAGACTGGGCTCTGCSCTGGTGAAGTGTGCTGGCACCGGGAAGCCCCTGGCTCTGCAGGGACAGTGGCACAGCAGACCCCTTCTCCTACCTTCCTGAAGTCACACAGGTCGATCTTCCCCTCAGGCTCCTGGCTGACCTCGAGAAACCGTTGCCTGAACACGGGGTCCTGCCCCTGGACACAGGTTTTGAGTTTTTCAGTGACTTCCTCCTGGGTCATGTTCTTGGTCTCGGTGGTTGTACCCTCGGGGGGCTTGGTTCTAAAAGCACAAGCGGATGTTCAGATGGGCACATCCCGTGGATCTGGCCCGTCCTCTCTTTGCCTCACAACAGCAGGGAGGACCCCGTCCCCACTTCCAAGTGAGGACACAGATGCTCAGCAAGGTGGGGCTGCCCAGACCCCTGAGCTCTGGAACGTGCTRCAGTGGGCAGGACGGGGGGCGGGGCTGTCGTCCTCGGGCTGACCCAGRTGCGCTTTGAGCTGCGTGAAAATGGTGTGGGCCTGGTGCCYGTGAGGGATTTTTTAATGAACTGGGCCCAACGTAAGACTTCAAATGGGAGAAGTAGGTCATTTTGTGGTAGGTAGACCAAGGAATCACCAAGGGCCATGGAAGGAAAGGGAGCCGCGAGATCTGCAGACTGACTGGATCCRGGAGGTGTGATTTTGTGTGTGCTGCAAGTGCACGTGTGTGTGCAGGGAAGATAACTGCTGCCCCTGCTCTCTCTCCAGAAGGGGACAAGACAGTCGTGGGCAGAAACGTCCACTCCTGCTCTGCTCCCCCAACTTCCAAGGCTCCGGCAAAGTCTGACTTCAYGCACTGCTTAATTGCCATCGCTCCTCCCAGGGCGTTCAGAAGCCGACCCTCACAGAATATCCAACCTTTCCCTTAAAATGCCCTCTCTGCTCGTTTATAAAGCTACTATTGGAAAGTCAGACATTCAAATTTCGTTATCATATCATTAACATATTCCCGTTGCTCTACACTTGAGAACATTTTTACAGGGATGTGAGCCCGCGGAGTCTCCGAGTTCTCCCTCTGCCATGATTTATGACAAGCTAAGGACAAGCAAGCTAAAAGAATATCTTTTCATTAGACCAAGGCTGATTTTTCAAAATGAAGAACTAGAATATTCATCAGTCCAGCTTTTTATAGATTTACTAAGTGTGTTTTATGGTTACAATTCAATTTGGCAATCATTTAAATATTTCCAGCATCCACATTAGAGAGYGTTAGCTGGCTGGCTGGCGCGTTTTGCAGTAACTATGACAGTGGTGAGGAATCTCGGTCTCTGGAGGAGAGCGGACGTGAGTGTGGAGAGGGAAGAGCACAGCCGTGGAGCCTCTCAGGGAGGTGAGTCCCAGGCCCTGACCCAGGCTGGCCACCAGGTGCAGGAGAACTGGAATGCACTTGCATTCCTAAAGTTCATAGGTGGTTTCAACCCCTGCCCTAAAATTCAGGGACTCTCATCTCTGTGTGTACGGGCAGCGTCTTTCTTATTTAAATTATAAACTATTAAAATACTCATTTAGCCAACAAACAGCTACTAAAGCCTACTCCACCATGGCTTCCCTTTCTTTACCTCTCTGAAAGATCCGGTGGCTGCTGCTGCTCTTTCTGGAAATGTTCACTTGACTTGTCCTTGGAAACACAAATGGGAGGCATAGTGGGCAGGTCCTTAATTCCAACACATGCCAGAAATTTCTTGTACAGGATTCTTCCTGAAACTGTGTCCTGAAACTTACTGCCGAGTCTGAGAGTGGAGAACAGGGCACGCCATTAGAATGGCTTCAGTCAACACACCCAGCATGACGGGCACATGGTAACTACAGCCTTCACCTCTGCTCACGGTGTGTGCAGCAGTGTGGCCACTTTGGGAGACAGTTTGCCAACTGAATATACAGTTATCAGAGGAACTAGCCATTCTACTCCTAGGCAGTTATCCAAGAGAAATAAAAACCTATGTCTACACAAAGAGTTGTACAAGGCACACTGCTTATTTTTAAACCCCAAACTGGACACCAAACATGTCCATCAACAGATAAATGGATCCACAAACTGGCGAGGCCGTGCCAGTAAAATGGAATACTATTCAGCAAAAAAAAAAAAAAAAAAAAAAAGACCAAACGGTCGATATATGTACCATAAGAATGAGTCTGAACATCATTATGCTGAGTCAATAAATTCAGACCAAAGAAGAGAATCCTGCATTCTCCCACTTACATGAAGTCCTAGAGAATGCAAAACAATCTACAGTAACAGCAGGTCAGTGTTTGGTGGGGGGGATGGGGAATAATCATTGCACAAAGGCACAAGAAAGATTTCAAGTTTGATGTCTTGATTAATACCCTGTGGTGGCTTCGTGGATGTGGACACATGAGGAATTTCATCAAATGATATTGTTTAAATATGTGGAGCTTATTGCATATAAAGTTCACCACAATAAAGACACAAGACGTGTAAAGAAAGAATTTTTTCTCATTTAAGTACTTATATTGGAATTTTAGCATATGAAAATATTTTAGAAAATGTAGAAAACCACTAGTCTAGTGGGACTGGTTTCTCTTTCTTTCTCTGTTTTTGTGGTGCATGGGTAGGCAAGTGCTCTGTCAGTTAGTGGCACCACCCACCCTTCAACGTCCTAGGATTGATTTCTTCTTCAATATTTTACTAAATATTTTTCTAATTGTAAACTTATGCATTGTTGCAAACTCGGTGAAGCCTAAAGACCAAAATAAACTTCCACAAATTCATTAAGACCCACAAGGCATCAGCGGTGGGTGGGGTCCAGGCCTGGCACTCTGAGCTGGCTACGAGCTCTGTGAGGCAGAACTGTGAGTGCCAGACAGGAGCTTGTCAGGTGCTATCTGAGGATGCCTCTGGGCATCAGCGAGGCCAAGACTATTTCTTGTTGACCCCAAGGCATCRACTGCCTTTCCACACTGCCTCCTGGGGAGCCCTGCCGAGGCCACAGCTGTGTGACCATGCCCTGCTTGACCCCCRGGAATGTGTGCTCGAGTGGCCTGTTTCCCAGCGTCCCTAAGGTTGTGGGGGAGAGTCTAAATAGGAGCTAGGAATAGGTTTTCAGAGAGTGACTCAGTTCCTAACAGCACTTCTAACTGGGCTCTTGGGTTACACCTGCCACGATGCCCGTCACTGTACTGACACCCACAAATCATTATTTTGACCTTGAGCCTGCATGGAAATACAAGTATGTGTGTTTYCCACGATGACTCTTTTTAAATACCTCAGTTTTAATTTCTTGGACAGCAAAGAATGACAGACACACTCCATAGGATGAAATTCCTTTGAGGAATTTTTAAGACCGTGAGTGACTCTCAATGATGCTCGGACCTGCAAACTCAGCCAGTTTAACTGAAGTGACTACGGCGCAGGAGGTTCAGATGAAATCTTGCATCTTACAAGATACTACAAAAGACTAAAGCATAATATTTGCTTGGCAAAAACAACAAAAAGATCTGGGTGGCTAGAGAGCCAGACCAACCAAGGCTCCAAACTTACCCGTGACCTGGGGTTAAGGTCCACCCCCTAGGCCTGTGTTTTCTCCACCCATGAGAGGGGTGARCCTAGCCTCCCCACACGACTATGGTCAGGTCTGAATCCTAATGTACGTTGAACCCTTAGCCGATGACCAATGCTTAGGAAGGACTTGATCAATAATAGCTATCATTAACTTAAGCTATTAGCATTGCAAAACAACATTAAATATTTGGATTTGKGAGACAATGAAAGCCATGAAGTGAATTAATTTTGTAAACAAAAACCTTACTTTGTTAAATGTTCATTTGTTAAAAATGGGCAGAAAGTGTGCATGATTTTCTTGAAATTACTTCGACTGATGGTCCCTGTGTCTCTGAGGTCATATGACTGCAGCGTGTCATAGAAAGCTTGCAGATGTCTAGTGATTGCATCGTGAACCATTTCTTCCACCTGACAGAGAAGCAAGCATATTCACAAAGTGACTCCTTGTGCACCAGACCACACAGGAAGGGACCCTAAGGCGGGTGCTGCTTACCGAATTCCAGGCCAGGTGGAGTGGCATCTTGGACTCTGCACAGGGCAAAGTTCTTCTTGTCTGGGTGGAAAGAGAAAGCAGACAAGTAAAAGCCGTTCAGGAAGGCAGCAGGGGCTTTGTAGGCAGAAGGACTTGGACTTAGTCTTGGACTTGAACTTGAACTTTAGCTCTGCCTCAGTTGGCCCCCAGCTCTGAGACCTGAAGCAGGTCAGTTTGCCCTCCGGTTGCCATATGAAAATGGGGGTAGTATTTAATTTTCACTTGTTTATTTAAGCATACGATAAACATAAAAATCCATCATCTAGAAATTAAATAAAGGCAAATAATGAGGTGGTGTTCTTGTGTGTCAAGATGGCAGAATGAGAAAGGAGCCACGGCCAGCACTGGCTGGGGATCAGAAAGCCGCGAGTGACGCTGACGGGAGTGTCTGGAAGGAGCTGGACACGGCACCCGTGGGTCAGACCGGACAGTCTGATGACTTACAGCCTGGGGGCGGCTGGACGCTCTGCATCTTGCACTCTCTCCATACGCTCYTCTTCAAAGTCATTAAAGTAGTGAGTAAAATAAAGCACAGTCTCTTRCGTGCTATTTTCTCCACACTTCTGTCTCCAGCATCTTAGACTCAAGCACCAATCTTAGAGGGATGCCGGAGAGCAGATGCCGGAAAATCGGCCAAAGGGAAAAACAGAAGAGGACATGTAGAGCATAACAGGAAGTTCAGCATCTTTGAAAATTAGATAGCAGAGTTTTCTTGATGTTAAATGATAACAGTGTATTAATGAAAAAAACTCAGGCTAAAGCGTCACTGATTATGTGCTCCTGTTTTTAAATAGAATTAAGTATAACACGAAAATTTGTATCCAAACTCACCAAAATGTATATATTACATATGTGCAGCTTTAAAAATATCAGTTATACCTCAATAAGCTATTTTTTAAATAAAAAGAAAATGTGTGTGTGCCCTCGTGCACACAGGATTGGAGGACAGAGGAGCAGGTCGAAGCGAGGCGGGAAGACGAGCCCCGAGCTGGGTCCGTGGTGCTGTTCGCTTCCCTGCTTGCACACCTCTGCTTTCTAACTTCTCTCCTCCACTCATTCAGCCAATGACCAGGAGGCCACGCCCTGTGGTACCTGGGCAGTAGTAACCGGAAGGCCACAGTATGCTCAGTGGCCACCACGGGAGCAGGGGCTGCCCAAGGTCTGTAACTGGAGGATGGGGCGTGGCCAGAGGCATCAGGAGGGTCCAGAGCCAGTGCTGGGCACGCTGGGCTCTGGAGGTGGTCCACCAGGGAGGAGGAGCAGGAAGGAGCCCCAGTGCTGAGGCCTGGGAGGGCCACCTGGGGGAGCCCAAGGACAGGCAGGGCCACACAGGCTCCTCACCAGCCATTTCTGGAAGTTCTGCTTTATCCCTAGAGCGCCCCCCCCCCAAAGCCAAAAGAGGGGTGTGAGCCTGGCTGACCTGATAGGGTTTCTACTGAGCAAGGCTACTGCCCCTCCTGCAGGGAGTATCCGCAAGGCACTCTTCCCTGTCTGCCCTGTCAGCCTTCCCACACTTCCTAGAAAATACGTCAGCAGACGTTCATGTTTAAATAGATAGGTATCAGACCCTATGATTTATATATGCRAATTAATTATGTCTATATGAGCTCATCACAAAGTGAAGTTGACGAAATAGGCTGCAGGATCACATAACTATGAGTTTAACCATCTTTTGCAAAATAGGTTCACACACTCAGAGTGGAGGGAAGTGTGTTGGGATCCGGGACTTTATCATCATTTTCATCTTTGTAGTTCTGGATACCGTCAGCGAGCTCCCTAGCGTGACCCACCAACACTGTCTCCACCATGTCGGTGGCAATTTCTAGAGGTACCAAGAGAAGGGAATTAAACATGAGAYGTTCCCTGTAATAAACTGCCAACTGCTAACCAATGGGTGTGCACCCAACTCTGCAAGACCACGGTGTGAACCCACAACAGRGGGAAGGACTCATTCATGATGTTAACTGCATCCTACCCAGAAGCCACCAGAACAGGATACAGCTGGCATTGGTCAAATGCTTTCAACCCTGTCTCCAAAGCCAGGCACCCCAGTGAAATCCGTTCAATAGAAACGTCATATCTGAGGCAAAGGTGCAACTCTGGATGTGACTGGTTTGAGATAGGGATTTAGGAYAAGGAGAGAGACTGAGTCTTAAAGGAAACACCCACAAGCCACTAAGCTGCAGAAAGCACAGTGGTGAACCTGAGCAACACGCCCTTGACCTGCAAGCTCAGGGAAGACTGGTGCAGGATTGCCCAGCTCCACCCTGGCTCCACCTCCAGTCCGGCCCCTAMCTACAGCCCATCTGTAAAAGTGGAGCCCCCACCCCAGGTGAGCTTCTCACTCTCTGTAGCCCACACTCTCCCTTCAGTGTGTATCTACTTCCTAAATAAACCTCTATCTCTGACTTTGCATGGTGCCTGCTGAAATTCTTTTCTGTCACATGTGCCAAGAACCCCTCTGGTCCTGAGTCAAGTTCCCCCGACCTCTGGAAACTTCTGGGACCCTTCTCTGGAGTCATCTCTTTTTCTGTGACAGTTTGATGTAGACAAATAGCCACCAGCTTCTTAAATCTAAAATCAGAAGCTAATTTGTACCTGTTAAAAGACATCTTCAACAAACATTGCAGTAAGAATCTGCTAAAGCCTGTCCTTTTTTGCATTATCTGAAACTAATCTGTTTCTTTAAAAAGTCTCAAAATGTTAAATGCTAATAGCTATCAAGGTTACAGATGCATTTATAATAATAAAATGTCAACTCTCCATGCAAAAGAAACAGAGACTAAAAGCAAGCGTCAGTCACTAGAGGTAATAAGCAGTGCCTTCTTAAAAGGTGAGCCGCATGGTGTGGTTGTCACAAACACCCCCCCAAGGCACGGTCACAAGCACAGAGGGGTTTTCAGAAGTGTCAAATATTGTCCTTTGATGAGATTTGGAGAGTAAAAGTTAAATTAAATGACTTGTGAACTCTCACTTACAATGAAAATTAATTCAGTTGAAAATGTGAAGTCGTTAACTGACTCAAACCACATTTCATCTGCATCTTTTATTTTACTGAATTTCCTGCCATAAAGAGAAAAGCAGAAGCGAAGTCATTAGGGAACTTACCTTGGGGTTCTCTAGCAGGTSGATGAAGGAGCTGGTGCTGACCGTCCCAGTGCCCCCGGGGTCCAGGATCTGCATCAGTTCTTTGAATTCTGAATCACTTAAGTTTACAGTTACGMAATTTAGGATGTGTCGCAATTCTTCCCCTGTCATCTTTACATTACGCTCCTGAGCACGAGTATGTACACAAGGGAATTTAAAAAAGAAAAAGACAGAAAAGGAAGGAAAAGTATTATATATATTTAGCATAATTTGGTACAGAATGAGCTTTGACCAAATAGCATTATGATTTGAAATGRGAATACCTCAATTGGGGACCATGATGTCACACATGTGCAAGAGCAGGCACMTGGAGGTACCAGAACCTTCCCAGTRCCCTGCCTACGTGTTCTCTACCAGRTGGGCAGGAGACGGCCAGGTGAGGGATGAGGCCCCTCTCTGGGACACAGGCTGACCCCCTTCCCAGGGGCGTCCACGGTGTTAAGGGTCCTCCCAACACCCACCTGGTGGCTCAGAACTTCCCGGCAGTTCAATTTCAACTTGCCATTTTACTAAGAATATTAATTATGCTTGTTCTGAGTACGACCAACCTCATCAATTAAATCAGTGGACGATTACTTAGCGAGATCACTTTCGGCCACGCCACACAAAGAACATGCTATGAGCAAGATACTCTGAGGCACATTTCTTCACCCAGAATTAAAAATTGTCAACAAGTAAATTAAATATGAAAATTGAGAGGTCCTGTTTACTGGAAAGAGGGGAAAGAACCCCTACCTCTCACAGAGAGATGCTGTGAATATCAATGCAACRAAACTGACATGGAAAGTGCTTACTAAGAGAGACCCAAATCTGAAAAGGAAATAAATTCCTCTAGGGTAAATTAAATCAGGGAATATATATACATGCTTAGTTTTTGGCTTGGGAGAGATAATCAACTTTTATGCCCAAATAAGGGATCGTGGCAACTTTTAATAATTTCTGTGTAATCGTCACCACTAATGGTAGGACCTTGTCACCGCCCCAGAAGAAGTACATTTACTCCATTCCCTACTTCCACACAGCTTGAGGCAACAACTGTTTTCATTCTCTGTGTGATTGGTTCTATAGACAGGACCATACAATGAACATGAGGTCTCTCTGTCTGGCTTCTTTCCAGTAGTCCAGTGTGGCTGGGCCTGTCCATGCTACAGCATGCTCGAGCACTTTGTTCCTTTTTATTCCCGATTAGTATTACAATATCTTTTAATATCTGGTCACCATCGGACGACCATTTGGATCATTTTCAGCCTGGAAATTATGAACAATGTTGCTATGAATATTTGCGATGTGTTTGTGTGGACTTACATTTTTTGATTTCTCTTGGCCTAGACCTAGGTGCGGAATTGCTGGGTCAAATGGTAAATTAGGTTCTATTTTTAAAGAAGCTGTTTTCCATGGTGGTTACATGCCCCGCAACAGTGTGGGAGTGTTCCAGTGTCTCCTCATCCTTATCAACTTTTTGAAATGAATATCCAATTTTTTTAGCAGCATTTTGAAATCCCTTTCCCCATTAGATTTGTCAAAAAGTGAACTGATAAGTATTTATGGGTTCTCAATTTTGTTCCACTGATCTATATGTCTATCCTTATGCCGGTTCCAAAATCTTTATTACTGTAGCTTTATTCTAGAATTCAAAATCAGGGGGATTAAGTAATATAATTTCATTCTTCTTTTCCAAGATTGTTTGGGCAATTCCATGATCTTTGTATTTTCATGTAAGTTTTAAGATCTTTTTTTTTAACTGTAAAAATAAAAGAGCCAGTTGGACCTTGATAGCATTTGTACTGAATACATAGATGAATTTGGAGAGAACTGAATCTCAGTAATGTCGAGTCCTCCAATCCACGAATATGGAATGTCTCTTCATTTACGTCTCCTTTAATTTCTTCTAAGTGTTTTATAATTTTCAGTGTACAATTCTGGCACTTCTTTGGTTAATTTATTCCTGGGAATTTTATTCTTTTGATGCTATTAGAATGGAATTGTTTTCTGAAGTTCATTTTCAGATTGTTCATTGCTAGTTTACAAAAATATGATCTTGTATATTAATCTTATATCCTGCAACCTTTGTGAATGCTATTAGTTCTCTCTCTCCCTTAGAATTTCCTACAGATACAATCACACTGTCTTAGAATAAAGCTAGTTTCATTTCTTCCTTTCCAATCTGGATGCCTTCTCTTTCTTTTCCTTTCCTGACTGGACTGTAGAGAACTGTAGCACGATGCTGAATAGAAGTGGCAAGGGCTGGCATCCCTGTGTGGTTCCTGACCATAGGAGGAAAGCATTCCGTTGTTATCATCACTATGCTGTTAGCTAAGGGTTTGCCATGAATGACCTTTATTGGGTTAAGAAATTTTCTCTTCTGTTTCAAGTTTGTTGAAAGTTTTATCTTGAACGGGTGTTGGAGTTTTTAGGTATCTTTTCTCCATCTACTGAGATGATTATATGGTTTCAGCCTTCACTCTATTCATATTGTGTCTTATGTTCATTGATTTGGGGGAAGTTAAACCAACCTGGCAGTGCAGGGATAAGTCCCACATGTTCATAGCATCCAATGCTTGTGACATGGCTGGATTTGACTCACTATTTTTGGTTGAGAATGCAACCAAGTCAGGAAGGTGCTCATCTGCATTTTTTCTCGTGACACCCCTGTGGGAATTCAGTCTTGGAGTCACAATGGCCTTGGAATGCGGGGGGGAAGTGTTCCTTCCATGCTTCTGAGGGTTCGTGAAGGACGGGTGTTATTTCTAAAAGCAACCTTTGTATTCTTCAATGTAGAGAATTTGCGCTTTCATTGTTAAGATATATTTATAGGTATTTGATTTTTAAAAAAAGTTTTAGCAATACTTTAAAAATTCTTCTTTTTATAATTATTTATTACAGTTTTCCAGAAATGTATCGGTCTTTGTGTACTGATCTTCATTCCAGTGAATCAAATTCTAGTATTAATTGTATCATTTGGGGGAAGAGTCTTTCGGGCTTTCTAATAATGAAATCATGTCACCAATAAATAATACCAGGAGGGGCTGGGGATATAGCTCAGTTGGTAGAGAGCTTGCCTTGCAAGCACAAGGTGCTGGGTTCAGTCCCCAGCACTAATAATAATAATAATAATAATAATAATACCAGGAGGAGGAAGCGTGGGTGAGGAGGCAGGATGCACACTGCACGTGGCCATAGGAAATGAGCCATGCCTGACTGAAAGGTGAGTGGTCGCGATGCCCAGGGCCACTTGCAGGAGGGCAGCAGAGTCCGCAGGGAGCACACACAGCAAGTGGGAGGGATGCCCACTCAGGGCGACCTGAAGCAGCCTTTCTTCAGCTATTCTGCAGTCCTCTCTGTTGCGGGAGTGTCCAGCCTGCCTACTCCTGGCTCCCTTCCCTGCTCTCCTCCTTATCCAGTCCTTTCCATGGCCAAGACCAAGAAAAATGGAGGTGGGACATGCCGGTCAGAAACTCCTCACAGCATGACTTCAGGGGGCGTGACCGTCATTGCTGCCTGTGTGAGTCCAAGGGTGACCTTGTCAATGGCAGCAGCTCTGTGCCATCCACCCAGCTGCTCAGCCCCCTGTGTGCCATCCACCCAGCTGCTCAGCCCCTGTGCATGTGGGGCCTGCGGGCTGGGCACTCAGCTCACTTCCCAGTGTGCTGGCTGGCCTCTGGTGGGCAGCGCAGCCCTGACTTTGACACCACCCGGTGTCTGCAGTGGTCAGCGTTATGCCTACTAAAAACGAAACTCCATAAATGACTGCCTCAGTGKAGTAACTGGACCTGAGGTGGGCGCACACCACAGCCTCTGCCCTCGTACCCAGGAGGCTCGTCCTGAGCCTGCGAGGGGCCAGGCAGCCTGGTTGGAAACCCTGCTCCACTAGCCAGGTGGCTCAGCCCCAGGCCCCAGGCCCCCTCTCCTTGCCTGTCAAATGGAGATGATAATGTCCACGTCACACGGTAGTGAGAGGACCAAGTGTGTACCTGCCAATCGCTTTAGACAGGGCGGACACACAGTAGGTGCTCAATGTTATTCACTCAGAGAGGCCAGTCACACAGTCCCAAGGATTACAGTCATCTCCCTGTACCTGGCTTCACTTTTATCCTTGGTCAGCTGTGGTCGGTACTACATGGTACAAGAAAGTATTGAAAGAGAGAGAGAGAGAGAGAGCAGGAGAGAGTGCATTCACATAACTTTTATGGCAGCATATCAATTACCTTTTTTATCATTTGTCGTTATTAATCTTTTACTGTGCCTGATTTATAAGTTCACTAGGTAACAGGGGAAGTGGCCTATAAACACGCGCTGCTTCACACCATTCTGGTGGATGGCGGACACACAGTGGCGTGCACTCGGCTGTATACAGGTTGTGTAAGAACCCTTGACCCACTGTGTTCACAAAATGACGAATGGCCGGGAGGCGCTGCTCGGGTGGGGCCATCAGGGAGCAGCATCTGGCCGTGGGGACCTCAGCCTACCCTTGTCTTCAGGCATGGGGGGGGCTGGGAGCACATCTCACAGATAAAGGGGGCAGCTGTGCTTAAAGTAGGTAAGACACCCCAGAAGCACTGAGCCTGCGCGACGGCAGCCTAGACTGACAGCGGGCACACGCCAGCCTGGAGGCCAGGCCAGGCAGGGTGGGCTCCCCGCGTGAGCCCTAGAGCTTGCACCTTCCCCTGGGTCGGCACCTGGGACGGTGATGCCAAGTGATGCTCTAGTAAGGAAGCTTTGGCACAGGGTCCCACTGGAGTCTAAGGACAAGAAATTCACCCTACTCATCATTTACTAGAGACTCCGTTACCAAAAATGCTTAAGAAATAACCCACGAGGGAAGCGCTGTTTTCTCAAATAAACGTTATACGGTGAACGGACTGAAGTTCACAGCAAGAGAAAGCCAGCGGCCAATCCACGGCGTGGCCCTCGCCCAGCACGGTCAGAAAGTCAACAGCGACTGGGCAGCTAGGAACCGGCCCTGCTGCGGGCACCACGTGGCGGAGCCGGGGGCCTTTAGGTCAGGGTGGGCGCTCCAGCAAGTGGGGGTGTGTGGTAGCTGCATGGCTGATGCAAGTCCCACCATTCCTGGTGGCCCTGACACCCTCTCCCTGCTGATGGCCCTGGGCTCTCTGCACTGCAATTCGTTTGGCACCAAACAAGCAAGGCTCAGCTTTTGAGCTGAGTCCTGCATGCCCCAGCATACAACAGGAGCTCAAAAACGTTCGCTGGATGGATAAATGGGTGAACACAGAGTTTTTATTGGTCTTGCTCTGAGTGTTAGCTTTCTTAAAAACAATGAGCTTTTCAATGAGAAGGGTTTCAAATCTTACAGTGTTGATTATCAGTAACGCTTTCTTCAACGCCATGTAGCTGTCTTCACCGTGTCTAAATAATTTGGTGACAATATTTTCCTTCTGAGGTTGGTTTCTTGAGCCAAGGCTATAATGGATTAGGAGAGAAACAGGAGAAAGATTATATTCTTGAACTTCGTCCTTTCTTAATGCAAAAAGCAAGCACGTCACAAAAACTATAATAATACTTTCTTTGTAGACGACTCTTGCCAGAAGTGGAAAGTGCTTGTGTCGTCCCACTCTCACTCAGCCGCTGTGGGTGTGATCCTCTCAGCATCCATTAGTGGCACCATCCCCTTGCCCTGCCCCCATGCTGGTCAGCCATCTTGCAAATCTGTGATTCTGACTTCAAAAAGACCAGGAGAGAGACCACAGATCGCCCCGAGACCTGCCATAGACAGCATGTCATAGCTCACTCACTCACCCAGATACCAGGGACTCACAGAGTGGCATCCCAGGAGCAGGAAGGGGCTCCGAGTAACCGGAAGGCTGATGACCAGGGCAGTCACTAAATACTAAAGAGACCCCAGACAGGGAAGGGACCCAGGGAAACGGGCATTGCTGTGTGGAACATTTTGCTTTACAACAGAGCACAGTGCTCTTGGTGCCCATGTGACATCAGGAAGCCTGGGTTTTCTCTCAAACTTCATGGGGGGATTGATACAGAATGCAGAAGCAAAGGACTTCTGAGAACGAGCGTCTAAGTTCCAAAACACCCTGGTAAGTCCTCCCTTGCACATTTCTGTGCCCCCCACCCCCAGTCTGTGCGGTTGTGTGAGCTGAAGTCACAACACATCTGAGAGGGACGCAGACACCCCCAGGACCCAGGACACCTGTGCCTCACAGTGCTGGACACCGTCAGCACTGTCCCCTTCCATGGGACTCAAGGGCACACCCAGAGCTCGGGGCGCCACGGAAGGCGGTGTCCCTCGCCACCCCCGCCCAAGCACGAGACTCGCTCACCGTCTCTTCAGGTCTTACATCTCCCAACTAGAAACTGGAATCTTAATTATACCAACCTCATAGTTCAAAGTATTTTAAATAAGAAAAATGTATGAAAAATAATCGGTATGTAAAAGTTGATAATTATTCAATGGAGACTAATTGGTCATTCAAGAAATGGAAAAAAGAATAACTCAGATGTTCTTCAACCTTTTACATATTATGATTTGTGTAACCAAACTTAAAGTTTCCTTTTTTACATACCTACTTGGTTTTTTTGAGGAAACCATATAACTGACTTCGAACTCCTGAGGCTCATTAAATGATGCTAAAAAATGTTTCCAATTGATTTTACTGGTGGTTTTAAGTCCAAATCTAGATTAAAAGAAAGCAAAAATATTAAACATTTTTTCTATAATACCACACAGATTAGATGCTTAATATTGAATTGAAAATGGAAGCAATGAATTTATATGACATTTCAAACCCAAGGTAAACAAAATCATTTAGTAAAAGAGGACTACAAATTGATTTTTTTAAAGTAAGTAAAAAACAAACAGATCCCGAGTCCACGCTCTCTGTCTCTGTGTCTGTTGGTGGTGGCACATGCCAGGAAGGAAAGAGGGGAACTGGTTAAATTCTAAGGCCCACTGTGTTTCAGGCTCATTCCGTGGCTGTGGTCAGTAGGCCCCTAGGTGCTCATGTCCTGACCCTCGGATCTGTAGACACCTCGCCTTACCTCACACAGCCAAGGGACTTCATCCACGTGACAAGGGTGGACCTTGGGGTGGAGAAGTCCCCTCAGTTAGGGGGTGCCAGCGAATCACGTGAGTTCTTAAAAATGGAGAGAGCTGCAGCCAGGAGAGGATGTGGCACTGGTGGCTGGGAGAGGGAGGAAAGGGCCGAGGGGCAGGCGGCCTGTGGAAGCCACAAGATGGGAACTGGATTTCCCCAAGAGCTCCCCCAGGGCCCTGCGACTTCCGGATTCCAGGCCTGTGAGTGGGGATGGGGCTTCTCAACTGCCAAACGTTAAGATAATAAATTCAGGTGGATGAAGCCAGGAGGCAGCAGCAGAAAAGCTGTGCAGATAAAGTCTCAGCAGGAACAAATAATTGGAAAACTGCTCAAAAACAAATTTCCAAAATCAATATGTTCCCATGACTCAGGGACCAGTGTTTTGGGAGTCACATGAGGCCAGCAGGAGCAACCAGCAGGAGCCGGTGCAGGGTTCAGAAAGGCCCAAGTCAACTCCCACTCCGTCCCTTCCGGCTGGCTGACCAGGCAAGGGGCTTCCTTCTCCCATCCTCTGTTCTCACCTGTAAGAGAGCGGAGCAGTGGGCCCCGGAGGAGAAGGACAAGGGATAAAGAAAAAGCAGCAGGCTTCTCCTCCTTGCAGGCTGGACGACCCACAGGGGTGACCACACAGCCTGACTTTCTGTGTGGTCACCCACACACTAGTATCGCCCATCCATCCACAGCAGGAGGGCAAAAGCTCATTTTGGTGAAGTCCCTTGGACTACAGCTATGAGGTGCCAAGTGGGCACGAGACAGGCTGCCCGGGTGAGCGCTGGGTAGACGGACTGATGACCCCATGCAGGGGTTAAAACCTCCAGGAGCACGAGCGAGAGGAGGTTGCTGGGGAAGATCTTTCAGTGCTCCACAAACTCCAGCCCTGAGCTGAGGGCAGCCAGAGGCTGCCTGGCCCCTGAAGCCTGTGTAAGGAACTGGTCCCACCTGGGGGCTGTGGTTCTAAAGCATGGAGATGGGGTCTGGGGCCTGACTCCCTGTTTAACTTCACTTGAGCTCGTCTTCCATGATAATCACGTGAAGTAAGTTTTCTTTTATTATCCTGAGTTTGCTCACCAGCAGGAGGACCTCGGGGCAGCTCCCTCTCTAGCCTGTGCACTGTGCCATGTCCCCGGAATTGCCCTGGGGCAAGCCAATCAGTGACAATAATGGCCCGCGGAGAACTGCAGAGCTGGAAAACCTCCCACCACCAGGAGATGAGGACCAGATGGTCATTTGGCACAACCTCCACCTGTGAGTAGGTGCCCACCAGCCTGTGATCACCCACCTCCTATAGCAACCGTCCCTAAGGCAGCTCCTGGCAAGATGGCCCTCTCAGGGAGGGTCCAGTAACCAGCTCATCCCGATCCAGTTCCACCCCCTCACCTCTGGACCAATTGGCTTCCCCTGTGCAGGGAACAGAGTGAGCCGTTGCATAGTGACAGTTCCTCTCGAGGATCTTGACACGTATCCCCTACAATTAGGATGGTGATGTGGGTCCACCTAGAAATCTTGCAAGTGAAAGGGGAGCTAGCTGCCAGCGTGGATTGGGGGTGGGGCACTGGCTGGCTTCCCCATCAGTCATCAGGAAAGTATTCCTGGGCTTCCAGAGGATGCTTCGAGGTCAAGAGCAGGTGCACACAGACCCACACGGGGCAACACAGACCCACATGGGGCAACACAGACCCACACGGGGCATCACAGACCCACACAGGGCATCACAGACCTAACTGAGAGGGCCACCGGGAGGAACCAACACACTGAAGGGACCGTCATTCAGCTGGGAAGGAGATGTGCTTGCCTTCATCAAATGTGAGATCCAAAGCCAGCCAAGGCTTGGTTGGAAAAAAGTACTTTAGACTCTCGCTGGGCCCAGGCCCTGGGTGGTGCCATCTAAGAACTCGCACCCGTCTTCTTCCTCTCCCTCCTGTGCAGGTGGACACAGGGGAAGCTGCCATCGAGCCCCTTTGCTCTCACCTGCAATGCCCTCACAGGTGGCAGGAGCACAGTCCACATGAAATCCTGCCTACGGGTGTGAGTGCCAGGACTCAGGCTGCCACATTTCTAAACAGAGGTCTTGGTATGATCAAGACCACCTGGGAAGGCCAGGTCTGCCCGTGTTTCCTTCAGGAAGAAGAACTGATCTGCCAGCAAGTGAAAAGGGACGGTGGGAAACAAAGCAAGGAGCCGGAGACTCAGTCTGGACTGTTCCATGGACAGCCGGCCAGCTGTCCGTCCACCACACAGCACCGAGCGCCGGTCTTCTCTAACACGGGGTTTTGCAACTATCTCCTAACTAGTCTCCCTGTGCTTGTCTTGTCTCTCTGCAATGCTCTTGCCTTACTCCATATTCCCGCCAGCCAGAACTTTTTGAAATGAAGATCTGATCAGAAGACCCCCTTGCTTAAAATCATCCCGTCCCTCTCCACCGCTCCTCGGACAACACCTGTCCTGGAACTTCCAAGCCTGCGAGGCTTGGCCCTGCTGGCCTCTAGCCTCCCCGCGGCACCCGCTGCTCTCTGCACCAGCACATCGCCCTTGCAGCTCCTCAAAAGGGGTCTGCTCCTCCCTCTCCTGGACCCTCCATGGGCTTCCTGTGCCACTGCCACACCCCCAGTCCTTTCCCATCCCCCTTGTGGTGCGTAGTCAGATCTGAAACCAGCCTCGCTCGTTCCTCCCTGACCCTCACAACAGTGCCTTGGACTCACCCACCGTCTCCCTCCTGGTCATCACCCACCATTCAGGATCCAGAACAGAGCCCCTGACCCTTCCAAAGCACTGTTACTGATCACGATCAGAGCAGCTAATGGTGGGAAGAGGTCATCACTCCTACTTCTAGCACGTGTTCGTGGCAGTGAGAAGGAGACCGAAGAGTGGATTTGTCGGGCACCGAGACAAGGACAGCTAGACAAGGGTCCTGGGTTTGGTGTGCTACTATTCACACACACAAAAATGTTTCCTTCTTACACAGTTTTTCTTTCCCAAACTTTGATGTAATTTGACAATATTAATTTCCATCCTAAATTTCAGCAAGTTGGAAATTAATTTCCTATTATAGGAACATTATGGCTACTATTAAAAATAGAATCAGCATCAATATATTACTTACCAAATTGCCTTTCTTTTTGGGAAAAATACCAAATGAGATCTTCCCTTGGTACCAGATATTAAAGTAAATTAAAATGGATTAAAAGTTAAATTTAAAACTGCGACACAAAAAAACCTAGAATAAAACCTAGGTATATACTTATTTGATACTTGAATAGGAAGGCATTTATTCTTAAATAAGAAACCCTAAACTATTTAATTATATCAAAATAAAAAATGTTTGTAAAACAGAAATATCAAACAGCCAAACAACATTATCTACTGTAACTATGCACAATAAACCACTAACATCATCAAACAAAGTGTTTATTTTGGAAATTAATATGAAAATACTAAAACCTGACTTCTTCCAGTAGCATGAGATTCTATTGGACCAACTTTCCTGCAGGTAATCACGGTGCACTCTGGGTTAACACCAAAAACAGCTGCACCGTGAGGAGAAGCAGGAAAGGCTGGTGGGAATCCACGCTGAGAGAGGGGAGGTGGGCCGCTCTCAGTCCCTCCAGCCTCAGGCTAGTACTGCAGCACGAGGTGGGGCACGAGCACCATCAAAAAAGTGAACTAAAAAAGAAGCCTTTCTGGTCTGGAAAGTAGAAGGCCAATTGCTGGTTACCCGTGGTCACTAGGGAGAAAGTCCTAGAAGGGAAAGAGCCAGACAGGAATCTCTTCAACTGTCTCACCACATTTCTGCCTGGCTCCTGAAGCTCACATGCTCAGAAAACACTCCAAACACCTCAGATAAGCACAAAGGAGCTGAACTCAGATCAGGACTGCCACCAAAGAAACAAGAGTGTGCAGTTTGAGTCCAACCAATACAGTGGCTAAAACAAAATATACTACATTCACTAGGAAAGATATCCAAATTTATTATCTCCTGAATTGATCATTCCAAATTTCTAAGATGCCTTCCAAATATAAACAAGAAAAATGGAGCATGCACTAAGGGAAAAAGAAAATCAACAGAGATAACCCAATGTTAACACTAACAGACAAGGATTTTAAAAGCAATGATAATAACTGTTCCTGATGAAATGAATGAAAATATGCTCATATTAAGTCCAAAGATAGGAAATCTCATCTGAGACTCAAAACATGTTATAGAATACCAGAGGGTCTTATATACGTGTAGCTGGAATCACAGAAGGAGAGGAGAAAGAGAGTGGGGAAGAAAAAATATTTAAAGAAACGAAGGACAAATTTTTCCAAATTTGATTAAAAATATATATCTACAGATTTAGGACACAACACAAACACCAAGCAGCAGGACACACAACAAAGCCATGCAAAGGCACAGCTTCAGTGCTAAGTTGTAAGTCAGACTCAAAGGTGACTCTTTTTTTTTCCTAATTTTTTTTAGTTGTAGATGGACACAATACTTTTATTTATTTATTTATATGTGGCGCTAAGGATGGGACACAGAGCCTCACCTGTGCTAGGCACGTGCTCCACCACTGAGCCACAGCCACGGCCCTCAAAGGCGA